ATATAGACAACTGATCCAAAATGAATATAGCATGTTGGATAAATGAATAACGGATTAATCCGGTTGGAACTTTAATGACCAATAAACGTGATACCGCTTTAATAAATAATATATATTTTATTAAATAAAAACTATATCAGATATATATATATATATTTAGCCCAAACACAATCAAAAAACTAACATCCAATACTGATTCACTTAATAACATTTTTATTATTCACCATTCCTTTTAAAAGCACCATGTCCGAAACTTAATGGCACAACTTGTGGTAAATAGGTTCTTACCAATTCACTCATTGTTCTCGCATCAAGTACTAAAAGAAAGCTTTTATCATTTTCACTATCAAATACAATACTTAATAACACACCATCATCTTCTTCACTATCTTTTTCGGGATGTGGTACAAATATCGCTTCTGATGGATAACAATTTTCTGAACTCCACATTGCCACTGCTTCTTTAACGTCCAAATCCTAAATTAAAGAATGAAAATTTAAGGAATTAACAAATAAAAACATAAATTTGGATGGATGATACGATGAGGTCATTATATGCACTTAATCAATCGTTAAACATCTACATTATAAAAGATTGTGAAGATTATGCAAAAATGAGAAAAACGTACACATTTAACAAGAGAATCCCAAATTTGATTTTCTAGTCCGCCTTTGGCAGAAAGACCAATACCGTAGACATAACGGTATCGAAGGCGCTGATATCTTGGGTTAATTCTTTAAAAATAGGTAGAAATAATATCAATAGTATGAATCCTTTAATAATAAGAGATATAAATAGTTTTATAAATACCTTGGCAGCTCTAGTGTGGAATCTGCACATCTCACATAGTCGGCAATAGGCCAAGGAGAAGAATCTTGATTCGTGGATCGACTCCAAATCATTGATGACACCATATTTTGCAAGTTTCCCATTCGAGTTGCTTGTGGAATATTTGCAAACTTTAATGATCCTTGTTGAATATTCTGTAATACAAATCTACGAACTTCGGCCATTTGAAGTCCCCCTGGCAAACCTTTTCGAAGATTTTCAAGTTCAAGATCATTTAAAATATCAGAGTTATCGTAGCATGCAATATCTAAATATAAATTATTATTATCATCTTCAAATGCGTTTATGTGATGAAACCTTATTATCAAAAAAAAAGATAAAACAGTCATGAATTTAGCATTAAGAGATGTCACTGCTGAAACTAAAATTGGCTGATGCTGAAATTTAGACCTATTCTAATATTAAACTTGATTAAAATTTTTTTGAGATCAGGTTATTATTAGGGTTAGCGTTTTTAATAAAGAGCATAAGCAAATTTTAGTATGGTATATATCTATAAATAGACTTCAATTTAAGCATCAGCCACGACAAGAAATAAAATTTCTTACGCAAAACAAGGATCTGATTTGTAAGTAGCGACATGCTGCTTTTTTTCTCTAGAAATTACATAAAATAACGTAGGTTCATTTGGTTTGAATTCAAAAGAATCCACAATATTATCGGACCATGTGAAATTGATTCCAGAACTTTTTCCATAATATGGAAATAGAACCTACGTTTTACAATGAATATACTTTAAAAATTTAATAATTAAATACAGAACATGTTTAATAAAAATATTATATACCAGAATTATGTATCGTGGAGTAACACCAAAACTGTGAACATAGGACATTCTTGCAGTTACAGAACCGATCAATTGGACGTTTTGATTATTCTGTGATACAGAAAAAAAGTTGTACGTAGTACCCATAGTATGATACTCCATATTAAAGTTGATCAATTCACCAGTAGTCTCATCAAAATGAGAATGGGGAGATGCATGATCACCCTTTATCATTGGATCTAATTCATCCCATGAAAACACGCGTGTAGGGGTAAGATCATACGCGTCAAGCTCTACAACCTATAAGGTATGAAAAATTCCAAGAAACTTAAATAAATAGATTTTAAAATAGATCTAATCAAATATTGAATGAACATACTTGGCTTGCGTGATTTTGGCAATATATTTTAGGTTTTTCACCCGGTTTATTATAAGGATAGTTAGTACTGATATTAGCAGAACAAGGTTCAAGTTCTGGTTTTGTTGTACGTTTTGTTCTGATAAGTTTAGCCAACGGAGTTTGACTATATGTGCAGGAATAAAAAAAACCATAATTAAGAATCCAAGCTTTGAAATTAAGATAATTTTTAAGGAATGTACTTTGGATTTGTCTTGAAGAGAGAAAATGGGTGTTTTGTTACGATCCCGTGACTATCACGTATTTTTGTTTCATGTTTTTTACTTGTTAGCCTTGATCTATAATTTATTTTATTATTTGTACCGTTTATTGCAAAGCGATTAACCAAAGGTAAACTGTAATGAACAATATAATAAAATAGGTTTGATTATTAAATACAAAAAAATAAATATAAAAATACAAGGTGATTAAAATTACCCATCAAACCAATGGCCCATGGAAAACGTTGCAGTTGCACTTTCGTAACCTTCTTCAGTTCCGATCATTTTTGTATATTTTATATCATAAGTACTTTGACCTATAGTAAAGAATTCACCTTTTAACCACGAAGGTAGGCCCCCTTTGACAATTAAATCGACAGGTTTTAACGTTTCTTTGCCATTAATAAAGCCCTTTTTGATAAAATCTCAAATATTTAAAGGGCACATATATAATTTAAGTTGAAATAAGAACAAATGGTTATAGACATATGATACTACCTTGCGATATTGAAGTTCTTTAGTATTTGGTTCATTTGCTGAAAAAACTTCGATTTGAGCGATTCCATCGGTGGCAATGATTTTTGGTGGGTTAGAAAAATCAAGTTCCGACATGATTGTATTTTGTAGGTTGATGATACGTGAATAAATTTCAACCTGTACGCGCAAAAAAGAGAAGCGACTTAAATATTCTAAATAAGGCTTACCAAATATTGTTGTATCACAGTTTATATGTAAAATATGTAATAATCATGCAATTATCGTTATGGTCAAATAATATGTGCACTTTACAAATTAAAATAAGTTATGATGTCCCTTTAATACGAAAGTCGTACGAAAATGATTAAATATGCAACATTAACCATCAAACTAACATTTCTTATGCATAGTTACCGCCTCGATTTTGATTGGCCAAGAGCGACAATCAAAAAATTTGGCCAAATTTTACTAACAGATAAGTACTAAATTGACTATTAAACAGTCATTAGACAATAAGATTTTTGATTCTAATTATACCAATTTCAACAAAACTTCAAAATAAAAGGTTGCAACCTTCCAACTTCACTAAATCTATTACGACAGGCAACCTAATTATAATTTTTTTTTTTACAAAAAAAAATAGAAAAAAAAATTCTAAAAAAATTCTAAAAAAAATCTAAAAAAAAATAAAAAATTTATAAAACAATCTAAAAAAAAGTTAACTAATAATCTTGAAGTAACCAAAAAAAAAAAAAAA